TAAGGACATCAAAACCTAAAATAAAACTCCAGAAAGGTGTACGATATGTGACCTTTAAATAAATTAAAAGATTTTGATTTTGAGTACCCTAAAATCCTCAACATATCTGTATAATATAAAGCAGTCGTAACATCTTTGCATCATCCTGTTTATACTTACTGTAAAGATAGTGAAATTAAGTCAGAGACTTTGGAAAGAATCTCATGACATATTAAACATCCTCTTTGATAGGGATGCACGATATTATCGGACCAATATCGGTATCGGCCGATAATGGCTTTAAATGTAAATATCGGCATCGGCCCGATATGAAAAATTATGCCGATATGTCTTGCCGATAAGAGGAATACATTAACTCACATGTGCTCAGGGTGTGCTAGCGATTAGCTCACGTCAACAGTGAGATTAGATCACATCAGCAGTGTGGCTCATTCTTGAAGCAGTTTTGCCTGAATTGAATGGTGAATTCACTGTTTTGGATGCTGCATTTAAACTGAGAATGCACGTACAGAATGATGCATTAGGTGTGTGATAGAGTAAACAGTATTAGCACATGCAGAGGCAGCAGCGGCAGCCTTCCCTGGGTCCCAACGCCCGCTCAGTAAGGAGTTTTAATTCCGTAGGGGGCGCTGTTGGCCTACTTCTAATAAAATGAAAGCAAAATACACAAATAATATTTAGATTAGTGTTAAAGATTATTTAGATTTAGATGTTTCTGATTAAAGGGGTCATATGATGCAATTTCTAATTTTATTTTCTCTTTGGAGTGTTACAAGCTGTTCGTGCATAGATAAGATCCCTAAAGTTGCAAAGACTAAAGTCTCAAATCCAAAGAGATATTCTTTATAAAAGATAAGACTTGTCCACGCCCTCCTAAAACGCCTCGTTTAAACACGCCCCCACATTACAACCCTCCCTTCTCTCCAAGAACTGTACTTATCCAGAGTGAGCAAAAGGGCTGGCAAAATCACTCTGGACCCCTCACATCCAGCACACTCCCTCTTTGAACTGTTGCCATCTGGTCGACGCTACAGAGCTCTGAGCACCAGAACGTCCAGACACAGGAACAGTTTCTTCCCTCAGGCCATCCATCTCATTAACACTTGACAATAACTGTGGCAATAACACACACTATTTATTCACTCATACACTTATTTATCTAACACACATACTCAGTCTACATTTCAATTTGCACATGATATACCTGTACATACAACTGTCTATTGTTATATACCTGTACATACAATTGTCGATTTGTATATTTTTTATTCCTTATTTTACTTGTTCTATTTTTTATTTATTTTTATTTTTTATTATCTGTGTTTTTTTGTTCTGTCACTGTCATTCTGTTACACTGTGGAAGCTTCTGTCACGAAAACAAATTCCTCGTATGTGTAAACATACCTGGCAATAAAGCTCATTCTGATTCTGATTATAATATGCATTTATTTTTACCTTACTTGCTCAACGACTCCCAAACGATTCGCTCAACAATCCATTTTTCCAAACCCCTTCTTTACGTGACGCTAATCTGCGGTGATTGAATAATTGAAACGAGTCGTTTTTAAAACGAATTCCAATCATAGCAATTGACCAATCATACCAGAGTCGACTCTTTCTTTTGAGAGACAATAACTTTATACACTGTGCACTTTTAGATTTAAAACTTTGCAGTATGTTTTCATTCACTTAGAGCTGTGTTACACACTGCATGAAAGGTAATTTTCACAAATCCATAACAGGGGCACTTTAAAAACGAACCAAAATGAAAAATAATTATATATCGTTATCGGCCAAAATGAGTTGAAAATTATCCGCATTAGTGGTCGTCCGATATATCGGCCGATATTTGCCATTTTTCAAATATCGGCATTGGCCGATAAGTTTTTCTGTTTGGCCGATGCGTTCGAGGCGGGACTTTTATTTTGACGGCGCTGAGAACGGCAGCGCCTGCGCACACAGTGTTCACATTCTCCTTGTTCGCTGTCGTCGTTGACAGTTCTAATACGGACAGAAATCTGTCTAATAATCAGAAAGAACTGTTAAACAAAGGAATTAAAATGTATACAAAAAAGTATTATAACGATTGCTTTTATATTATTATTAATAGAAAGGCAAACATTATAATACATACTCGTTTTATATATGTTCTATTCATTCTTTTTTAGAAACCTCGCACTTTTCTACTCAATTTTAAACGTTGTAAAATTTTAAACAAATTAAGTCCACTGCTGCACACGTGCCACAATATCGATACAGGGCCAGCTGTATCGATACTCGTATCGTCAAATCTCTGTGACGATACAATGTCGTATCGATATTTTGAACACAGCACTAGTGCGAATTGAATACGGACAGGAGGAAAGTTCTCCTTCACTGGAGACGCGCGATCGACTAACTTTAAACTCATGATTTCAAATTATGCTGCGCTTCATGCTTTTGCCCAATGTCATATTCATGTCATTTTCACTGTGTGCTGTATGTAAAATGAGTGTTACCTTGGCTTTATTTGAAAAAATAAATAAAGAATGCCCTGTTGGTTTCAGTGTTTACTTCCTTTTTAATTATATTTTTATTAATTATTTATTTATTTGTGAAAAATACTTTGTCATTTAAAGTACAAGTATGTTTATTTTACACATTTATTTTTTAATCCATTTTCAAATTATTTAAAATTTCTTAAATATTAATTAAAATAAATAAAATTATATCGGCTTTATATCGGCCATCGGTCACCCTGCTTTCCAAGATATCGGCATCGGCATCGACTGTCAAAAAAACAATATCGATCGACCACTAATCGGCATATCGGATATCGGCAAAAATCCAATATCGTGAATCCCTAGTGTTTTTTGTTCTCACTCTGTTTTCATCATAGATGATCTGGACAAGGCTGCGGTGTTTGGCTTCACTGGGTGGAGGTGAGATGGTGCGCTCTGGCTCCTGGGGTTTTGCAGCTTCTTCCTCCAGTTGTTGCTAAAAAAAAATACAGAGCATGAAAGACCTTCCTAACAATCCTGACTGCTATAAATCAACAGTGACAAAGGTTAAAACATAAAAATAAGAACTATATTGAAACTCTTATTTTTACTGATGAAAGAGGACTAATGCAACCCTGCTAGAATAAGCAGCCAGACACAACAAGAATGCAATATTACGTGAGCTAATATTAACACTATCCCCACATCAGAAGCACTGCTAATATCAGACAAGCTCTGATTGGCTGAGGAGCACTAATGCTTTAGCAAAGAGAGTCAGCGAGACAACTTAATAGTCAAAGATTGATGATCAACAATAATTTCACAGCTTATACACAGATGCGCACAGAACGCAGAGGCCCTGGCTCCAATAAAATGCTGAAAGGGGCCTCCGTCTTGCAAACATAAGTCCAAACTCATATGGATCAGCTCTAGTGCAGGATCAAGACTGTGTGTGTCCTGAGTTAAAGAAAATAAACGAGCCATCCCACCGCCCTCGCAGACAGTCAAACACACAGTAACCTGATATTCTCACTTCTTCTCTCTTCTCTCCATCCCTCCCTCGCTTTACGTTAAAAGTTTACCGTACCATTTAATTGCACCAGATGTTTTAATGCTTAGAGGAAACCTAAGGGGAGAGGAGAGCGATGGACGGGGTCTGTTACCTCACTGAAAATAGATGCCAAATCTTTCAGAAGAAAACAGTATGGGGTTGAAGGGCAGATGAGGAGAGGTTCATTTTTCTTGGTAGCGTGACTGTACTTATACAACCACTCAGACTCAAAGCCGTTTCACTCCCTCTCCAATCCTCCATTACTCCCTCAATGGACTAGCCCATGGAGCACAGGTGGCTTTGATTTATTGAGCAGCGGTTTGGACACGGTCCAAAACCTCAAGTGAACTAGGGGGTCTGTTTTACAAGAAGACATGGTCTGCTTATATATTTTCTGCAATAAGCATGACTAGAAATATCTGAGAATACATTCTAATTCTTTAAACCTTTAAAAAATATCCTTGTAATACATAGTTACTATTGTGCAAATTAAAAGACATAAAATAGGCGAATATACTTGATGCAATTATTCCACTGAAATAAGAGACCTAAAATTATAGTGCTGCATTAACACTTGAAGTAGACCACTGAGTAATGGCACTGGCAAGAAAAAAAAGAGAGGGAGAGGAAACCGAGAGAAGGAAGGAGACCGAGAGGAAAGACAGGAAGTGTGTTTGTAGCTGTGTGGCCTGCTGAGGCAATAACCACACAATCATCACAACTCCACTCCGCACACACTCATCTACTATTGCTGCTACACTAGAGTGTCCAGATTACATAACACTAACTGCACTGTGGATGAAAAGCATCTACTTATTGCAGCTCTAAAAGTTGCACTTAGAAAGAAATCCCTGCCTTCACCTAAATAAAAAGCTTTGCAAACTGTCCTGGTGCTTATTTTAGAAGGCCAACTTTTCCTGAAATAAAACAAAAATGCATTCTAGGATCCTTTATGCTAGGGCTCAAAATAAATAGGCAAAATGTGGTGAAGGTTACCTGTTTTTTACGCAGTTTACAGATCTGCTGCTCCACCATGGTGATCTCCCGATCCACACGGTCCATGTTCTGGATTAGCTCCTCTTTGGAGAGGCGAGAGGGAACCAAGTCCAGGTCGGGCTCCATGGGCACTGGGCTCACAGGAGAAATGGGCTCAATCTTTCCAATGGAACTGCTGTTGCTGCTGTGCCCCTGTATAAACACACACATCATTGTACTCATTCAGACCTGGTAAAAGCTTTATTTTGTTTGTAAAAGTTGTGGTTTCAAATGTTTATTTTTCTAATGAACATTAACCAAACATTTACTTCAGCTTATAATCACAACAATTCCACATATGATGACTGATGTTAATTAGTAATATTAATTATCAAACACATACATTATGCTGAAGTATTTTGAGTGGTTGCTAGCAATCTGCTATTTGACAGCAAGTGTGTGATCTTGAAAACAGTTGTGCTGCTTCATATTTTTGTGGAAACAGTGCTACAATTTTTTTTCAGGATTCTTTGATGAATAGAAGCTTCAAAAGAACAGTATTTATTTGAAATAGAAATCGTTTGTAACATTATAAATGTTTACAGTCTTTACGGTCACTTTTGATCAATTGAATGATCAATTTAATGCGTCCTTGCTGAATAAACTTTTGAATGGTAGTTTATCTACTAAATGATTAAACAAAAATGTTTCCATTATCACATTTTACATTACTTGTTTTATCATAGACAGGTAAAAATGTTAAGTCACAGAGAGGCACACTAAAACAAGCTGCATCATTTGAGAACTCCATGTCCACAGCATAAACAGTGTTAAGAGTTACGTGACAAGGTTTCATGCTTAGGTTTGGGGATTTGAACAAACCCCTAACCTCAAGCATGAGCAACAGCAATAGTGATGCATGCCTTGGCAGGCACCACTAATTAATGCTATTCAGCATTTCAAGGTTTTGACATTTTGGGTTCTTGGAAAGAGATACAATGCACTCGTTCTTCTCTCGTTCAGAAATATGAAAAAAAAAAAACATGGTTACAACACAGTACCGCTTAGAGACTGTTTAGTGGTAAAAACTTCACCTCTTATAGTAAACTGGTGAATGTACACATAGCAGATCAGTGGTTAAGGCTACTGAATATTCAGCTAGTTTAAAATGTGCTTAAGAGCCTTTGGGTTCATTCTCTCACATGAAGAGAATGTTACGTAAGCGTAGTGATCAGGGAGAGCGCGTGCTATTCTCTCTCTCACCGGCCCTTAAAGATCACTCAGGCAGAGCAACCCTCAGGGCAAATGCATGGACTGAGTGGACACAATCACCCAACAAAAAAGAACAAGACTAAAAATACAAATAATAATAATAATAAATATAGCTGCAAGCAGCAATTAAGGGGCCAAGCACTACAGAAGCAAGCAAGACAACAAGCATCAGACCAACTGTAGCAATGAGTAATTGAAGCCATTTTAAGATGATTGTGGTCAAAATGGCTGAAAAATCATACATACAGTGGGTACGGAAAGTATTCAGACCCCCTTAAATTTTTCACAGCACAGTCTGAAGATGATTTTTTCAACATAAATCAAAATGTCGGACAGGAAGTTCAGCTGATTATGGCAAAATTGGTATGTTCTCGGCATGACCCAAAGAATATATTGAGACCAGTTTCATATGCTCAAAAGCTATTAGCATTTTTGGAAATTTCATTATAACTTTTGACCACAAGGTGGCAATGCTTCATATGTTTTCTAGTACCGTCAGGACAAGGTACCAAAGACACATACCGAGTTTCGAAACGATATGCCAATGCGTTCGTAAAATTAGTTCGTAAAAATAGCATTTCACAACAAAATTCAAAATGGCCGATGCCCAAAATGGCCGACATGGGAAAATTGGGTATGGTTCGACTCGGCATGCTGCACTGAATCTAAAGAGTTTTGTGATTTTTGTTCAAACTATTCAGAAGTTAAAAACAAAAATAGCCATTTTTTATATCTCCTGACTACTAGGTGGAGCTGAGCAGAAACTGTGCAGGTAGCCTCAGGCCATAACACACACCAAGTTTGGTCTCAATACACCAAACATCCATTTTTGCGTGCTCTTTGTCAAATTTGTTTGCGTGTTATTTGAGAATGGTTTGACTAAACTTGAATTCCATAACTTTTTGCCAGCATGGTCTGAAGATGATCTGAGACTATTTTGGTGAAAATCAGACAAACTGTCTAGGACGAGCTCGAAAGTAGGTTTTTCAAACTATTAAAAAATTAAAAATTTTGAACAATATAATTTTTTATTTTTGTTTCCATTTGACTCGGCATGAGCCAAGGAATCAGAGGAAAAAATAATTTTCAGTCTAAACTTTACGGTTCAAAAGTTATTAGCATAAACATAAGTGCAACTTTGGACAGTTGGTGGCACTAGAGGGATTGAGATAGAGATTCCAAATTTGCTATGGTGACATATCAGACTGTCCTCTATCGGTGTCCCAAATTTCATAACTTTTCCACAGTGGTGCTATGGGCTGCCATAGACATTCAGAGCGGAAGAATAATAAGAAGAACGCCAACAGATACAATAGGTGCCATCGCACCTTTGGTGCTTCTAATAAATAATCACAACAACAATTTTTTAACATAAAACTTTTCTGACCATCAGGCTCACATTAAAGAGTAATGACCCCATGTGTTTTAAAGTAAATAAATTAAATAGATGTATGACTTACGGTAGAGACCTGCACTCCCGCGGGAGTACCGCGGGACCCAACGCAACAGGGTGCGGCGCGGGACAACTCTTGATGGGCGAGTGCGGGTGCGCGGGTGGGAAGAGACTCGTGTGTGCGGGATGCGGGAGAATAAAATGATTTGCGGGACTCCCGCAAAATAGAAATTATCTAAACAAAGTGTCTAAAACATATAAATTGTTATTTATCTGTTGTACAAAAGCAAAAAAAAAAAAACTAATATTAACATTAAAATGATTGACATACGCAAGCTAGGCATAGTTTCTATTTATAACATGTGTTTAAAGGGTTGCGCAATGTAGCCAATCACAGACTCAGCTGTTGATTTCTGGAACGCAATGGCCAATCAGAGGTGATTAAGTTAGAATCTACTCACCGCAGTGCTGAAATTGCGTGCTCACGAATCCTCTCATTTTAACACACGAAGTGTAGACACTGTGAAAGATTCATTGTGCATATATTTATTG